TTTATACAGTCCTAGGATTATTCAAGCAATTTTCGAAGGGTAAGGCTCTCTGAATAATAGAAAGTATATGAACAACTGGGTCAGTAGATTTTATCAGGTACCAAAATGTATTTAGTGCAACACATGTGAGTTAAAATTTGATAAGGTAATTACCAAGTTTTAAGTGGGATGAAACTTCAATAATTAGTACAATGCATGTCTCTACTTACCACTAAACTTCTTTTTATCCTATCAGGCGCAAAGCTTTCATCAGGGGTGCAGGCACAGATTATCGCTCGAGAACGCTAAGGTTTGCAAAGAAAAAAAAATTGATACTACGACAAATTATGAATAATTGTAATATGGTATTCATCAAATGTGTTCATATCTGACAATTATAGTATAAATATGAACAATATCAACCAAATAAAAAGATGGGATATAATCAGTGAATTCTGCTAATAAATGATTTCTTACAGCTGATGCTGGTGACTGGTGTAGTAGAGTTATCACTGAAATTATGTTCAGAAGTAATTCCTCTCTTATTAATGGTTGTTACCATACTGATTGTCATTTTCAGAAGGATAATGACAACATCACAAATCGTCGAGAGAAACGATCGGCTTCATCACCAGCTCGGGCCTCATCATCCATCGACGCTACTGCTACTCCTCTCTTCGTCGTCCCGTACGCCGCTCTCACACCTGCAAAACACACAAAACCCGAACAAAATCATATGTTTCTTAGATCTGAAATTGAAGAAATTTGGCTATGAATTTGTAGAAACTAACTTGAGGATCGGAAGGAGGATGGGAAGAGGATTATGGAGGTATTTGACGGTCTTGGGTGACAAGTGGAAGGCGGCGCTGTTGCCTGAAAGAGAAGAAGGAGAGAAAGGATAAGGGAAGGAGAGTGACGGGGAAGGAAGAGAGAGGATGAAGGAGAGAAAGAGAAGACTAATAACCTGTTTTTATCTTTTAAGTTTTTCATATTTTTTCACTGTTATTGTTACTCTAAAAATTTCATTCTACAATCATCATAAGTGTATTTTTTTTTCCAAATATAATAAGTTTGAAGTGTAGAATGAGATTTTTAAAATGTCACCAACCATTCTTTTTTTTTTATTTTTATTGTTATTATGCACAAAAGACACGATTCTTTTTATACGTGCCATCTGAAATCTAAAAAGTATATAGTGCAAGTAATTCAAAATGTACATTTGATTTAAATATATACCAAATATTAGGGCACAAAATTTAATACTAAACGTTTGGGCCAAAAAAATAACTTTTATTTAAATATATTTAATCATATGACACAAAACTACGTACGTTACCATGAGGTTAGAGTTGTGCGGCCCATGATTTGTGACACTTGGGTGTGTAGCTCTTGGCGGACTATCCTCACTTAAAATCACTTTTGAAATTTGGAGTGGGAGATTCATGGTGTCCTCAGTTAAAATCACTTTTGAAACTTGGGGTGAGTGATTTATGGTGCTTTTCAATTGAACCAACATTTGACTTTGGGTTTCTTGGCTTGTCATTGAACAATTGATTAGAGAAAATATTTTGGGCCTCATTAATTCTAGAAAAAAATTGCAGAGGAAAGTTTGGAGATAGAAGAGAGGTTTGTAACAATGTTAACCTTTGAGAAACTTACATGTTATCGGTAACCTTTGTAAAGGCACAAAAGTCATTTTGTGTCACACATAATATATTTAATTAATAAAAGTTTCATTATTATAAATATGAACACATGCAATTGTGCTTATAAATCCTATTTACAGCACAAAAAGTCTTTCGTGCCTATTCCTGTGCCCAACAATGTGTTTGTGTCCATTTTCTTTTTCATTGGGCACAATATATGGTGCCCTTTATTGAATGTGCACTTTTCCACCTTATTCTTGTTCAAAAACACACAAACTCCTTATTTGTGTCCTTCATTTTGTACCCAAAGCCCATTTTTCTTGTAGTGGGTGGTTTTTGGTTAAAATATTCATAGTCAAAACCCTTTTTATTAAGGGAACTTTAACGAAAAGCTCCAGGTACTGTTCACTTTAACAAAAAATCATATTTTTACACTAAAAAGTCAAATCTTATTCACTTCTTATTTTGTCCTTATCGTTAAAACTCAAAATTTTCAAACTCTTTTAATTAATTTTCTATTTTATTAAAGCTCTTCTTCCTACATCAATTATCCTTCAAAGAATCAAAAAAGATAAAATTTAATATAAAATAATATTTTTTTCTCTCTTCATCAACCTTTCTCACTCTCTTTTCTTCTTTTTGATGGACGGAAAAAAAAAAAAAAAACTGAATTTTTTTTTTCCTTTCTGCAATTAATTTTCTTCAACTGGGACTCAAATAAGACTTTGATTGAGAAGTGAAAATCCATGTGTATGCAAGTCCAGCAGAGTCTTGCTATCATCGCCATTCCATTCCCCTCACAATCACATGCATGGACAAATGTGCTGACATTAAATATTTAATGGGAGTGTGCCCGACAAATTTTCCACCCAGTTCAAGGCGTATTGGGAACATTAGGAGTTGGACTAACGGAGGACCTTCCGTCAGGGGCATAAGCTGGAAAAAAAAAAAGTTTTGCATGTGGGCTTGTTTCTTACTTGTGAGCCTTTAGTTTTTGTCTTTTTTTCATTAAATTTCAGGCCATTTACATTAAATAAAGTTAATAAATGATTTTTAGTTAAAATGAACTTAGTCTAAACTCCTCTCATAAATAATACACTTGCAAGTGTGGTAGGTTAATTATCTCTCCCACATGCGTAACTTCACAACAATATTGCGAGAATCTCTTTTTTATAACGTCAAATATTCAGCGGCTGTCTTTGCTTCTCTCTCGCGTTTTTGTTTGGTGATGTAAAGGTACAAATCGATATTAGAAAGAAGAAGGAAAAAAAGAACTATGTGGTACACAAATGCAACCGCATTATTTTACAATAATTCCTAACGAAAAGCTGGTTAGTTATGACTCAGACAAATTCTAATTAGTCAGATGTCCCACTCAAAGTGCAGAGTCAAACAAATGCAGGCAGATATGGAAGCTCTCATGGCAACCAACAAAAGACCAGAGAACCGTTTGAGACCAAAATTTTCGCTGCTCCGCAAGACTCTGTTGGAGTTTTGAATGGAAAAACCATGAGTTTATTTTTAATCTGCACTCGTGGATTGCTTTTTGCAGATTTCAGATTATAAGTCTTACACAAGTAGATTTAGCGTATTGAATTAAGTATAGATTAAAAGAGTTTTGTATGGATTAGGATGCAGCCCATAATTAGAGCAATTAAAATAAGGGCTCGGGGACCTTGGGTTCTCAGAATTAATCCAATCCTTGTATATATATGTGTGTGTATACATACATACATACATATATATATATATATATATATATATTCAGATAACTATGATGAGTATTTTCATCATAGTAGCGAAACTTAAACAAGCCACCTAATAGATGAGTATTTTCATCGTTCTCTTCTTTTCTGCTTCTTATTTTTCTTCTGCATCTTCATTTTCTTCCTTTGACTCTGTTAGTTGTGGTGTTCAAGTTCTGAATCACTTAGGAGTAATCCATCGGGAGAAATCCTAAACTCAATCGAGCAATACTTGACGTCTAAAGTGTCCAAGCACGGGACTTTGACAATGCAATTTTTTGAGCAAAAGCCTTGTAGATTTGGTAGAGAAAGTTCCAATTTTTGCAGCTGCCTAAAAGTGATCTCATTTTCTGAATAATCTTCGTGCTTGCCAAATTAAATTGGTAGAGACATACATACATTACTTTGTTGAAGGTTCAAGTTGAATTGGAATGAATATAAAAAACCTGCACCATTAGTTAACCATCTTGATGAATTAATTAAATTTTAGTAGTTATAATCAAAGGTAAAAGAAATTAACAATCAAACATAAATTAGTAAAAAATTGGAAAGAAAAAGGTGTAGAGACTAGCTCGAACACGGGAATTCATTATTACTGGAAACAAAGGAGCCAGTGCCTCCAGTTAACCTTCTTGATGAACCAACCAAATTCTAGTGATCATAATCAGATAAAAGAAATTAACAATCTAACAAAAATTAGTAAAAAAATTGGAAATAAAAAGATGCAGAAAATAGTTCGACCACAAATATAACAGAGTACATACTAAATAGGATATTTTGGTCTAACCATTTAAGTGGTAATACATGTGTGACTTGCTGTTGGGCGAGTCCAGCTAGCATTCCTCTCTTATTCTTAATTTAACTACAAATATAACAGAGTACATATATGAGATATTTAAACAAGACGATCTGAATTTCGTGCCAACTCAAACAATATCAAACACAATTTAAATCTTAATGAGTTTGTTCAAGTGTGATGTCTAGTCCTCCAGTGGAAGCTGCAATTTGGAATGATAATGACTGAGAAACCATGTGCATTGTTGGCCTCGATTGCGGTCGCAAATCCCTGCATGTGATTGCTATCCTTGCCATGGTTGTCAGTTCATCTTCAACTTCAAGTGTAGGAGGTGGAAGCCGTTCCAATACGTCCTTCAGCAATTTGTTTTCACGAGCAGATGGAGACAAAAAGGACGAGATTAAATCACCTAGTCTTTTTCCCGTGATCACTTCCAGTGCCAGCAATCCGAAGCTATAAACATCATATTTCTCAGTTACCTTTATTGTGTAGGCTAACTCTGCATAAAAATTAAGGGAGAGCTAACCATTAGTATATGTTTAAGTTTATATTATCAAACTCAACATTATATATTTTAACTGTTTTACTTTATCTGGTGCTACATATCCATATGTGCCTGCAAGGGAGCTTCAATTCGATGAGTCTGGATTCAAAAGCTTAGCAGTGCTGAAGTCTGAAACACAAGGCTCGTAGTCGTAATCCAGCAAAATGATGCTGCTTGATAAGTCTCGGTGTACAATTGGCGGCATGCAATCATGATGCAGGTAAGACAGTGCATGAGCTACGCCTTTTACAATTCTTACCCTCCTACTCCAATCCAATTCTTTTGCTTCGTCTTCTTTGCTCAAGATTGAAGCCAGACTACCCTTTTCTAGGTATTCATAAACCAGAAAGGAGTGTTGTGAATTTGAACAAAAACCACAAAGTTTCACAATGTTTTGATGTCGTATATTGATTAGTGCACTTATTTCATTGTAGAACTCCTTCTGCGATGTCTCCTCGCCGTCAAGTTTTTGATGGAGTTCCTTCACTGCAACTATGCTGCCTGATGGTAGCTTTGCCTTGTAGACACTTCCAGATCCTCCCTTCCCAATGCAAAATATGGAGTCAAAACCATTGGTTGCTCTTATGATCTCCCAATACAATTTTTTTTCCATCAAAATGAGAGATTGAAAAAATTTCATCATGGATATCACTTTTTTCTGTTCTCGGCTCTTGTTTCTTCTTGTTTTGATGAAGACAATTGCAAGGAGAACAAGTAAAACTGCTCCCAAGATAGGGAAAACGATTGCAAACACGAGTTTTCTTTTGTTTTTTCTTTTTGAGACAGGTTTATTGCAGGATTCTAGACCTACATGTTAGATTATGAGTATGATTCACACGGTTTAGTTATTTCAGATTAGTGTCAAGCAATAAAGTCTCAGATTGTTGATAAGAATGAATCCAGTTTTGTTTTGGAATAGAATTCTTTTTCGGACTTGAGTTTAGTACGCATGACTGTACAAGGATTTAGTTTCATATTTCTTGTGGGATTGTTATAGGTGATCCGAAACTTGTAGTATAAAATCACAAGCCCCTGCTCTTGCAAAGATACGCTCTTATTTTTTTCCAATTGCCTATAATCTGGAGAGCATTGAGTTTTGCAGAGAAGAGAAGGTTTTGTGCAGATTTTCATGGCATCTTCATCTATGAACATGTCTGCAGGTATGTGCTCGTGTATTTGCTTCTGTTCTTATATTCACATTACATACATGATCAAAG